GTGGGAAGAGGAAACCAGTTATAGGGATCTACATATAACCTCCTCCCTGGGGGACAGACAACAGAAAACTGGGTGAAGGGAGACGTCGGACAGTGTAAGATATGACAAAATAATTTATAAATTATCAAGGGCTCATGAGGTAAGGGTGAGCTGGGAGGGGGAAAATGAGCTGATGCCTGGGACTAATGTGAAGAGCAAATGTTTTGAGAATGATGAGGGTAACGAATGTACAAATGTGCTTTATACAATTGATGCATGTGTGGATTGTGATGAGTTGTATGAGCCACCAATAAAATGATTTTTTTTAAAAGAGAGTCTTGGAAACCTACAAGGGGCTGTTCTACTCTGTCTTATATAGGGTCGAGTCAGAATCGACTGGTTGGCAATGAATTTGTTTGTTTTGGTTAAGAGCTGTCCTCGAAGTACAGCCAGAATGCTCCCAAGAAGTGAGAATGCTGAGACTTTGTCTCAGCATGTATTTTGGACATGTTATAAGGAGGGACCAGTCCCTGGAGAAGGGCATCATCCTAGGTAAAGTACAGGATCAATGAAGAAGAGCAAGACCCTCAATGAGCTGGATTGACAAAGTTGCTTCAATAATGGGCTCACACTCTATGACAACTGTGAGAAGGATGCAGGACTGAGTAGCATTTTGTTCTGTTGTACATGAGGTGCTGTAAGCACTTCACAACAGAGTAACAAGATTGGATTGTAGGTCCCTAAGCGACACAGTACACTCCTCTGCTAAACTAAAGGCTGGCAGTTTGAACGCTCTCGGCAGCACTATGGAAGAAAAGACCTACCAATCTGCTTCTGTGAAGATGAAAACCAAGAAAACCCTACAGAGGAGTTCTATATTCTGTAACACACAGGGCTGCCGGGAGATAGAATCAACTCTGAGGCCCCCAACAAGATCTACTTGCAAACTAGGGCCTGAGAGAGCTGCATGGATAGCGGTGCACTGGGCCTTTAAGTGGCAGTGCATATAGCAGCGCAGATGAAGCTAAGCTGTATTAGATACGGTGGGTTCTGTTAGAAAAGCCAGTGACATACGTGACAAGCAGAAATGACCGTCAAGACTTGAAGTACTTGTAATAATCCCATTTGTCTTTCAAGACACAGCTCCAACAGCAGCTCCTTCTGAAGGCCCTCACGCTAGGCCTGCTTGCTCTAGAGCAGTGGTTCTCAACCTTCCTAATGCCATGACCCTTTCAGGCAGTTCGTCATGTTGTGGTGACCCGTTTCCCGCCCCCCCCCCCCCACCCCAACCGTAAAATTAAACCTATTCCCTTACCTCCTCATGCTAAGGCCAGTCCACACGGGTCAGTTAGCTGTGTACATGTTCTTATCGTCTCTAAGGCCAGCTAGTTTCTGGGCACGTAGCTGGTCAAATGGTAGGGCAGAGAACTGAACCCAGGCATGTTTGACTTTTCAGTCCAGAAAAACTAGTTTGTTCTTTTAAAAAGGTTCACAATTAGGTACACAGGAATATTAAATTTGAGTAGCGGACCTTCTCTTGATTAACCCACAACCTCAGGCAGATGAGCCTGCCCCGTGCCCTTTGCTCTTTTTCTGCTGGGTTGTTTTGAGGCTGTGTGTTCTGGAGTGGTGCAAACAGTTAATGCACATGCACTGTGGAAGAAAGGTCTGGTGAACTGTTTCCCATAAATCAGCCATTGACAACTCTCTGGAGCACAGTTCTACTCCGACACTTAAAGGGTTGCCGTGAGTCAGAATCAACTCGTCAGCTACTTTTTTTAATTTCACATATCAGATTTTGTTGTTTAGATTTTTTACAAATATATTCTTCCTGTCTGTCCCTTGTCCTACCTTTTTTTTTTCTTTTAAATGTTACCGAGCATGGCTGTAGCTAACTCAGATCGTGAACTTGAGTTTCCTGCCTTTCTCAGTTCCTGAAGTGCCTTCATAGTTCTACCACTTGAGAAATGCTGACAGACCTTAATAAGCAGCAAACCCAGAGAATAAAAATGATGGTGCCAACACCAGCATGAGTAAATGCTAAGGAAAGTCATAAAGAATGCTCCCCTAACTCCCCAAAGCACGGAAGCTGTGAGTCAGTAAGACTGGGCAGGGGTTCGTTGAGGCTGCCTTGGGTGTCTCATGCCTTTCCCCAGGTCCTCCCCAAACAGACAAATCACCCCCAGATCACTGTCAAACTCGTACCCCCAGAATCTTAGTGCTTAAGGTCCTTTACCCCACAGTCAAGCCTGGAGATTCCTGACATTGTTTGGCAGGCTGGGGCCTGAAGTTTATACTTGGCTGAACCTAATAACCTATGAGGAGCCGCCCACGCCAGGTGTGGTGAAGAACACAGGCAGGAAGCGAATGGAAGGCTAAAATGCCCTTTGTGGTTGTTTCTCCTCAAGCTGTCCAACAAATTCCAGCAGCTTTCTACAGAGCTTTGCCTGCAGTGGTCCCAGTGACTAAGTCAGTGTGATTGGCATGACTGATCTTGCTGTCTCTCGCACTCACCATATTGCACTTCCCTGTGTCATTATTTAAAGTTACTCCAGTTCTACTACTTACTGAATGCAAATGTGGGCAAGCTGCTTAACTTTTCTGTGCTTCAGTTTTGTCACCACTATGGATGATGATTGCATCTACTGCTGAGGATGGTTGTGACGACTGAAAATGAAGGCACAGCATTTAAGAACAGACCTAGAACATAGGGCCAAACCTAACCCAGTGCCATCCCATGGATTCTGATTCACAGTAACCCCACAGGACAGCGCACAAATGCCCCATAGGCTCCCACAGCTGTCCATCTTGATGGAAGCAGACGGCCTCATCTTCCTCCCTCTGAGCAGCTGGTGGATGCAAATTGCTGATTTGTTAAGCCAATTGCATAACGACCACGCCACCAGGATGCACTCAGTAAATTTATTACTGCAAAAGTAAAGCATGCTTATTCTAACGACTTTATGAATACAGAGGGGAGGACCTATACTCTCATGCTACCGCATGTTAACAGTGTGATGTCATCAAACATTTCCCTTTCGTATGAAGAAAATGCCTCATGTTGGTGGCACTTTTTGGGAGGAAGTAGGTTTCCAACTGCAGGGGCCAGAGCATACCAACCACCTAACGACATCACAGGAGCCCTGCTAACATAGTTGTGACCATAAGTTCAGCAGTTTAAAATCACCAGCCGTTCCTCGGGAGAAAGATGAGGCTTTCTGTTCCCGTGAAGAGCGGCTCTGGTCTGTCCTAAAGGGATGCTGAGTCGGACTCCCCCGAGGGCAGTGAGGTTTTTGGCACCACGTCACCCTCTTCGGTTCTGGGTTCTGACTGCCTGGTAGCTGAGTTTGCAGGTTGGGCCTTGATTCCCCCATGTGCCTGTGCGTGTTATCCACATAGGGAGAAAAGCGCTGATCGTGCTGGCGCACTCCGAGAAGACGTCCTTCAACCATGCCATGAAGGAGGCTGCTGTAGAGGCGTTGAAGAAGAAAGGATGGGAGGTCACCGTGTCAGACCTCTATGCCATGAAGTTCAACCCCCTCATTTCCAAAAATGACATCACAGGTAAGGCCAGCTCTCCCCTTTGTAAAACTCTCGAGCCGGGCCCATGGGTTCTCTGGCACAGCCTCCTGGACCTCTTTTTCTTCTCGCAGGCAAGCTGAAGGACCCAGAGAACTTCCAATATCCTGTTGAGTCTGTTCTAGCTTACAAAGAAGGTCGCCTCAGCCCAGATATTGTGGCTGAACAAAAGAAGGTGGCGGCTGCAGACCTTGTGATATTTCAGGTATGGGGGTCGGGGTGGGTTGTCAGATGTGGAACGGGCTCCCTTACTCTGTGGATGCAGGAACAGGACAGCAAAGAGGACAGATTGGCTTTGAGCTTCTCTCTCCCTTGTGTCTAGTCTCCCTTCATTTGAGATCAGTCCTGGTGGATCTTCCCAGAGTTTACAGATTTTTTCTCTTAAAACATCCCCAATGGTTTCTGGAGTGATGATTGGCATGTTAAGATTGGCTGGTTGGTTGGCCTGTCTTCCTAGCTGCGTGTGCATTGCTCCACTGACTGTGTTCCAGCAACAACTCCTGGTCTCCCCTCCACCCGCCAACTGCCTTCTTGATCCAATTTTTTTTTTTTAAATCATTTTATTGGGGCTCATACAACTCTTATCACAACCCATACATCCATCCATTGTGTCAAGCACATTTGTACATATGTTGTCATCATTCTCAAAACATTTGCTTTCTACTTGAGCCCTTGGTATCAGCTCATTTTCCTCCTCCCTCCCTGGTCCCCCTCCCCCATGAAACCTTGATAATTTATAAATTATTATGTCTTATCTTACACCATCCGATGTCACCCTTCACCCACTTCTCCGCTGTCCGACCCCTGGGAGGAGGTTATATGTAGATCCTTGTAATCTGTACCCCCTTTCTCCCTCACCTTCCCTCCAGCCTCCCGGAATCGCCACTCTCACCATGGTTCCTGAGGGGTTCATCTGTCCTGGATTCCCTGTGTTTCCAGTTCCTATCAGTACCAGTGTACACTTGATCCAATTTTCTATCGAATCGTTTCCCAGTGTCCTCAAAAAAGGAGCAATAGCAGTTTTCTGTTTTGCCTCAGAGACTCACTGTACTTTAGAATGGGAAAGGCTAAAAAATTTAGCCCTCTCTGAAACATACACATTTTGTTCATTATCAGTACCCTTGTGCTGGTTATGCACTATTTAAAAGTCCCGTGCCTAAGGGCATTATAAATGTTTCTAGTCAAACTATGACAGCTTATTCTGGTAAACGTAGTGCCTTTTCTGAGACTTTTAACATAGAAATAATGTGTCCTGGTGTTTTCATTCATACCAAGGGGCCACCTTGACAGCGTTCTTCCTTCTCTTAGAACAGTTTGAGGGACAGCGAGCTTTCAGTAACCCTCAGCCAGCCAATTCCATTCAGCTCCGACTGTAGAATACTCACAGGAGACCAAACTTCCATAGTTGCCAGACCAACCTCAAAGCTGGAGATGTGGCCCCTCACAGTTGGGAGTCAATGATGTAAAGGGGGGAGGGCGGGCAGCTTCTAGATACCATCCGAAGCTCTTGTTTACAGATGAGGCAAAGGAAGCTCAGGAAATTCGGGGGCGTAGACTCATGTTAATATTAGTGGCAGATTCAGGATGAGAGGGCAAATCTCTCTCCGGAGCCTATATTCTTTGTGCTCTAAAACCCTGCCTGTTGTATTAGAGAAGGCTAGTCAGGCCTACCGTCTCCTCCTTTAATCTGGGTTTCCTTTCTTTCCATTGCCATTGCCTTTAACTCATCCATTGAGGAACAGAAATACTGGTATTGTCCTGGAAATCTTTAGTTTTCATCAGACCAAAAGAAACTTTCTCATGGGAGTTCCCAGATAGTCCTTAGTCACTGATCATTTGTTTACATTTTTTAGTTGTTTTGTTTGAATTGAATGATAGGAGCACAAGGTATATTTGCTGTGTTTTATACCACACCCACCAAGCAAGCGTTTGAATAAATACTGATTCAGCCACCACACATTGAAGCAAATTTTGTCTGCAATCCTTTTTAGACTTAGATATCAAATGTGATTCATATAGATAAATCTCATTTGCCTGTGGCTTTAGTCAGACCTACCCAATATTTGTGTCTTCAGACAGAAACAGGTCAGTCACACTGACTGACCAAGGATAATACTTTCCTCTATAAAGGTAATAATCCCTCCAGAAGGAATGACCAGGGTCTGAAGACAGGTCCCTCCCTACAGCAACGATAACTCAAAAACAATAAACAACAAAAACTGCTGAGTCAATTCCGACTCACAGCAACCTCATAGGACAGAGTAGAACTGCCCCTATGGATTTCCAGAATCGTCACTCTTTACAGAGCAGCTGGTGGCTTTGAACTGCTTACCCAATGTGTACGCAGTAAGCAACCAGGGCTCCTATAGCAATGACAGGCAGCAGCCAAGGGGATGTCCCTAACCTGACTTTTGTGTGTCTTCTCTCTCCAAGTTCCCACTGCAGTGGTTTGGAGTCCCTGCCATTCTGAAAGGCTGGTTTGAGCGAGTGCTTATAGGGGAATTTGCTTACACCTATGCTTCCATGTATGACAAGGGGCCTTTCAAGGTAGGTAAAGAGCTACAATCTTCCCTTTCAACAGCTAGATTCCCATGGTTCTGTCATGAGGCAAGTTCAGATACTAAAACTCCAGGTTTTCTGGAAAGATACCCAAGTTTTTATGTTTCAAATGGTATGGTGTTTGGAATTTGCTTTAAAATACTTCAAGAAAGCACTTGGGGGGGTGGGGGGGGGAGGGGAAGCAAATAAAATTAAACTGGCAGAATGTAATGGATGCATCATCATTCTAATTTCTCTTCTTTATGAAGGTCTGAAATTTTCTATAATAAGTCTTAGTTTTTTGTAGGGACCCAGATACGATACAGAAAACATATCACGATCTTATAGAGAGCTCCTTTTATCTGCCCTGTGAGGAGATGGGGATGAAAACAACAAATGATTCTCTCAAGGGAGCCTTGAGACTAACTTCTTATTGCCACACCCAGTGGATGGGATCCTCCAGCTTGCCCCTGGCTGTCTGTCTGTCTGTCATCTTCTGCACAGTCATACTGGGTGGCTCACAGGAGCCAAAGTATATAATAATATAAACAGCAAATCAGGTAGACTTAAGTGTTCTTTTCCCTGGAGCTGTTTCATTAACTTCCTGTCACCAAGGAGATGTGAACAGTAATGACTTTTTTTTCTTTAAACAGAATAAGAAGACACTGCTTTCCATCACCACTGGTGGCACTGGCTCCATGTACTCTCTGCAGGGTGTCCATGGGGACATGAATATCATTCTCTGGCCAATTCAGGTACCTTGTTTTCAATGAACCTTCAAGGGAATTAATTAGTTGAGCTTTCTGTGGGGTCCAAAATCTCAAGACAGCATCTGCAAACAGATCTGAGATGCGAAGATGAGAGAATAATGACTCAGAATTACAGGGGGCTTCCTTTTAGAAAGTTGTCTCTCTGTCCAGACTCCTAGATATTTCTAGGATACATCCAAGTGTGCACATCTTTAAACAGCCTTGCTTCCTAACTAATGCCGAGTGTAGGTCACCTTTGGTCTCTGTAGCCAGGTGCCCTGTCTCTCTCCAGATGACCAAGTTTTCTCCCCAACCATCCTAACTTTCTCCAAACTGCAACTATAGTCTTAGATTATCAAGAGTCCACAATCATGCAAGAAGTGATTTAGTTCAGTTTTAGAGCTGAGTCAAACTGAAGTCTGAAGTAGGCTTTTGGGTGGTCACAGGACTCTCAAAATAATCTTACAAGGAAGGGGTTTGAGAACCAGTGAGACGGCTACCCATCTGGAGTGAGAGGCAGAGAAATGCACATCTGTCTGCCTTGGCAAGCGTCAGCTGCCAAGATGCTTGGAACTCTCCCTGATGTAATAGAATTTCCGGCACATTTGGCAGAGGAGCGCAGGCTGGCATGGTTTCAAGGTTGTAAAGAGAGCACACAGAATAAGCTTCTTCTAGGTGGCAGGTACATATAGGGAGGTACAGAAAAGGAAAGAGATTATTTTTGAACTGAGGTAACTAGGTTACCTCAGACCATGTTCTTGATGTAGCTTTATGAGAAACCCAGATCAGTTTGTTGTTTATATAAACAGTTTGGGGTTTGCTATGTGACTCACCTCTGCTTTGTCTATCTCCAGAGTGGCACTCTGTACTTCTGTGGCTTCCAAGTCTTGGAACCTCAGCTGACATATAGCATTGGGCACACTCCAGCAGATGCCCGGCTCCAGATCCTGGAAGGTTGGAAGAGGCGCCTGGAGACTATTTGGGATGAGACTGCCCTGTATTTTGCTCCAAGCAGCCTCTTTGATCTAAACTTCCAGGATGGATTCTTAATGAAAAAAGAAGTCCAGGAAGAACAGAAAAACAAGAAAGTTGGCCTCTCTGTGGGCCATCACTTGGGCAAGTCCATCCCAACTGACAACCAGATCAAAGCCAGGAAATGAGATCCACGAGTTTGATTTCTTTCTAAAATGTAGCCAATGCTAGGCATCCTTTTCAGGTTTCCTTGACTTGCTTTGATTTTCAAAATTTAGGTCTTTTGTTTTCCATAAAGGAGAGAGTAGACTGTACCTGTAAAAGTTAACTATGAATTTTTTTGATTCTTATCATGGCCTGTGACCAAATTCTGGTGAGTCTACTTAAGACATAAAGTGGGAGAGGCTTTACCAAAAATAGTAGAGAATATTCTTTAAGGTCATCTAGAGAATTTATCCCTCTTTTCAGTGCTAAATTTATGTGGATATTATTGACTAAACAGCATCTAACTCTTCAATGATCTATTTTTCTTTTGGTTTAGTTGCCTCTCCGTGATTATGGAAGAGGGCAATTGCTCAGAGAATGAAATGAGTGATTTTATTTGAGACTTACTTAGGTATTAGTAATGCTTGTTTATGATATCTATATTGGTTTTAATGGCTACACTTACATGCCTAACATCTGACTATTCCATCAACTTTTGCTGTTTGTATAAAATGCAAATACCTTGGAATGAAAAGCTAATAAAAGTGTCTTTACTTCAATTTTCCAATTTCATATTTGTAGAAAGAAACCAAAACATACACACCCTACAGCTAGTACACTGAATTAAATCTAAAACAGGGAAGAGTACTCACTTCCAATCCTTTAAAAAAAAAAAGTATTCACACTCCTAAAGGTCAACAAACAGACCTGGAACTATTTATAGGCTTTTGTTGTTGTTTTTGCCCTGTCTTGTATTTGTGCTTATTACTGCCTCTGTGTGTCTATCTAGGTAAGATAGGCGGGATAAGCAATCCGAAGGAGAAAACAATGGGACCTATTGTTCCAGAGGGATGCGGGAAGAGGGGGAGTTGGGGGAAAGGAAGAGGGGTGTCAACAAACTCAGGGGCAAGGGAACAACAAGTGATCTAAAATCAATAGTAAGGAGGGCATAGGATGCCTGGTGGGGCTTGATCAAGGGCAATATAGCCGAGAGGAATTACTGAAACCTGAATGAAGGCCGAACATGATAGTGGGACAAGAGGAAAGTAAAAGAAGATAGAGGAAAGAACAAGGAGGCAAAGGACATTTATAGTGGTCTAAATACAGGCATGTACATATGTAAATATATTTATAATGATAGGGACATAGATCTATGTACATATATTTATATGTTAAGTATTAAGGTAGCAGACGGACATTGGGCCTCAAGTACTCCCTCAACGCAAGAACACTTTGTTCTAATAATCTGGCATTCTGTTATGTTCACCTTCCCTGACACTATCGCTTAAGACAATGCAGGTACATAAAAAAGTGAAGAAAGCTGATAGTGCCCGGCTATCAAAAGATATAGCGTCTGGGGTCTTAAAGATAAACAGGCGGCCATCTAGCTCAGAAGCTGCAAAGCCTACATGGAAGAAGCACACCAGCCTGTGTGATCATGGGGTGTTGATGGGATCAGGTATCAGGCATCTAAGACCCAGAACAAAACCATAACCAAGGTGAATGGGGTGTGTGTGTGTGAGCATGTAGTGGACACCCAATGCCCATCTGTATACAATTGGACAGCCCCTCACAGAGGGGTTGAGGGAAGAGATGAGCCAGTCAGGGTGCAGTATAGCACAGATGAGACACACAACATTCCTCTAGTTCTTTGGTGCTTCCTCCACCTCACTATCATGACCTCGACTCTACCTTACAAATCGGATTGACTGGAGCATGCACACTGCTACAGATGAGAGCCTGCAGCATGGGGGATCCAGGATAGATGGGGACCTCAGGGCCAACGAGGAGAGTGGGGATCCCAGGAGGATTGGGGGAGGGAGGAACTGATCACAAAGATCGACCAAGAAGCCCCTCCGAGGGGGACCAATAGTGGAAAGGTGGGTGAGGGGCAACAGAGAACGATGTAAGATATGGAAAAAATGGTATATAACTTATCAGGGGTTCATAAGGGAGGACGGGAGGGGAAAAAATGGGGAGCAGCTATCAGGGGCTCAAGTAGGAAGAGAATGCTTTGAAAATGATTATGGCGGCATATGTGCAAATGTGCTTGACATACTGGAGGAATGTATGGATTGTGATGAGATGTAAGAGTCCCCAATAAAAGCATTTTTTAATAAAAGTACAAAGTTTGGAAAAAATGATTAGAAAAAAAAAAGATATATCGTCAGGAGTCTTAAAGGCTTGAAGATAAACAAGCAGCCATCTAGCAGAGAAGCAACAAGGTCCACATGGAAGAAGCGCACCAGGCTTGTTTGATCATGAGGTGTCAATGGGATCAGTTATCAGGCATCAAAGACCCAGAACAAAAAATCTTATCAGTGTGAATGATGGGGAGCGTAGAGACCCAAAGCCCATCTGTAGACAATTGGATATCCCCTTACAGAACTGTCATAAGGAAGAGACAGCCAGTCAGGGTGCAGTATAGCACCAATGAAACATGCAACTTTCCCCTAGTTCTTTAACACTTCCTCCTCCCCACTATCATGCCCCTAATTCTACCTTGCAAATCCAGCAAACAAGAGCAAGCACACTGGTACAGGTAAGAGCTGGAAACAAGGAATCCAGGACAGATAAACCCCGCAGAGCATACAATGAGAGTAGCCATACCAGGATGGGATGGAGAAGGTAGGGGGAGAAAAGAGGAATCAATCACAATGATCTACATATAACCCTCTCCCAGGGGGATGGACAACAGAAAAATGGGTGAAGGGAGACAGGTGAAGGTGGGCATAAGACATGGAAAAAAAAAGTATAAGTTATCAAGGGTTCATGAGAGAGGGAGGGTGGCGGAGGAGGGGAAATGAGCTGATACCAAGGGCTGAAGTAGAAAGAAAATGCTTTGAAAATGATGGCAACATATGTATAAATGTGCTTGTCACAATGGACTTATGTATAGTGTTGAGCCCCCAATAAAGTAATTAAAAAACTGTTCAGAATAAAAAGCTTCAAAAAGATGTAAAGACAATGACACGGTTCTTACCAATAATTCATTAAAAAGTTCCACAATCACTTTATAATACCTTTTACTATAATTTACCAGGAGTCTAAAAAGTTTTGTGGGGAAAATGAAATGAAAAATACATTATATTTCCATGAACTCTTTGAAGCCCCCTTGTGATATTGCTTTGGAGTGGTGAAAGCATAGAAATAATTTTACTAGCATCCCTCTCCCTACTACTAAATAATTTTACATGTTTTACAATAACTATAGGTTTATAGTAGGCCTTCTACAAAAAGTGCTTGCCATCTATAAATTCTGGAAGGCCATTTTCTGTACTGTGGCTAAATGTACAACTGTCCTTTCAGTGATGGCTTTAGTCCAATGATTTTGGGGATAAAATTGAAGTTTAGACTGGTCTGAGTGGCTTAAAGAAAAAAGGAGGAAAAAAAAAAAAAAGGACGAAAGTGAAACTGAAATGGACTTGGGAGTCTTATGAGACACAAGTTCGCTACAAACAATAACACACACACACACAAACTGAAGTTTAGACTTGCATTAATTCTGATCTACAGTTTGGCATAATGTTAGAATTTCTTTCCTTTGTTGGTCTAATAATTGGACTCTAATTCAAGTAAAATCTGTTAACATCACGCCCTCTTGTGGTGCCTTGAAAGAGGAACAATGCAAACTTCCCCTGGCAAGGAAATCCTGGATGGCCTCCTCTTAACAGCTGACTATTACTGGATCAGCATTTTCTCTCAGTATTTTCTGTGGCCTTCACTGTCACTGGAGGCTCTGGTGGCACAGTAAAGGCCCTAAGCGGCTAACCAAAAAATGAAACAAAAAATATGGAATATTTCCATGAACTCTTTGAAGCCCCCTTGTGGGAGTGCTTTGGAGTGGTGAGGGCTAAGAGTGGAGAGATGAAGAGGCAGTCTGCTCTACAGCCTTTGAAACCCCATGGGCAGTTGTAGTCTGTCCTACAGGGTTGCTATGAGTCTAAATTAACTCGGCACCACTAGGTTAACTTGGTCATCCAATTCTGTGTACATTTCTAGAAAATTTCCAAGTCAATAAAAATTAATTTCTGTAACACAGACTCCTAAGTCGCTGGTTTCAGTGAACTTAGCACTTAGAGGCATTTAGGCAAGAGGATTCTACGGAGTTAGGATCTAAGGACCGAGTAACAAATTATGGAACTTTGCTTGAAAGTTAATCTAACTGGGCTGCTTCATACTGAATGGGAAAATAGATTCTGATTCTCTGATGTAATCTGACGAAAGGGTATTTTGCCTTAAGCAATAGAGGACAGAACTGATGATCAAGCTCCGGAGCTTTCCAGGGTAAGGAGCATAAGAGAATGAAAAGGAGTGGCCAGTGAAGCAGAAGCCATGGTGAGTGGGGTCACATCTCTGTCCTGAAAGACAAGTGAAGACAGTGCTCCAAGGAGTGATCCAGGGTGCCAAATACTGAGAAACCAAGTTAAGAGGAGGACTGAGAATAGACTATTGGACTTGACAGTATGGTGGCCACTGATGACTTTGCCAAGAGCTATTGTAGTACAATGATGACCAAGGGTTCATTGGAATGGTTGTAGAGAAAAGGTTTTTTATCGAGTTTATACAATAAAACGAACATATCCTTGAGAAAAGTGCAATGATCCAGTGTACAAGAAGAGAAGCAGGAGAGTGTCCAGAGTAGTAACACTAACATGGAGTTTTGAAAAGTTTGTGTAAAAATAGAATTGAAAGATAATGATTTATAACTATTAAATTTCATTTGACCCCGCTCCCACTACCATGACTTGAATTCGACCTTGCAAGTCTGGCTAGACCAGAGGAGGTACACTGGTACAGATAGGAACTGAAAATCCAGGGAATCCAGGGTGGATGAGCCCTACAGGACCAGTGGTGTGAGTGGCGAAACAGGGAGGGTAAAGGGAGAATGGGTAGGAAAGAGGGAACCGATTACAAGGAACTGTGTGTGACCTCCTCCCTGGGGGACGGACAACAGAAAAGTGGGTGAAGGGAGATGTCGGACAGGGCAAGATATGACAAAATACCAATTTATAAACTATCAAGGGCTCATGAGGGAGGGGGAAGCGGGGAGGGAGGGGAAAAATGAGGACCTAATGTCGGGGGTTTAAGTGGAGAGAAAATGTTTTGAGAATGATGTACAAATGCGCTTTACACAATTGATGTGTGTATGGATTGCGATAACAGTTGTATGAGCCCCTAATACAACGTTTAAAAATAAATAAATAGATAAATTTCATTTGATTATTGTTGTTCCATTCAGTGAAGTCAGTAAGTGCCCAAGGAGAACAATGAGTTTGTTAAAATACATGAAAACTTTTCCTCCTCAAAGTGACAACTCTGAAATGTATCCATTTGGGTCTATTAAAAATTCGGTCACTTTTTAAAATAATCAACAGAATTGTTTAAATTTGATCAAATAATACTACAAAAGTGTTTCTTAATGATAGTCATGATAGCTACGTATTGTTATCTATGTACCTGTGTTAATGTTCAAAGCATTTGACTTTCCCCCTAATAGTATGATAGGTAGGCATATATTTTTCTAATGTACATTAAAAAAATGAATACCTATTTGAGG